GGCCTTCTGCTTCTGGAAGCGCATGCAGTATCGCACTCCGATTATCGGACTGCCACCCCAACTCCTATCCTATCCTCATATTTCGTTTCTTATGTTGTGATTCGACGTCTAATGCTGACAGTAGTGCTGGTATCAGGTACGTACCGTGCAAAAACTGCCCAATCTCTTTAAGTTTCACTTCCGATCGATAGTTGGCTATATGCTGTCCTATTGAAATGTCTTTACTTTTTCTTTGCGTCCATTTACGTGACGTTTGAACGCGATCCGTTTAGAATAAAAGGATACTTTTACGATGGTTCACGTCAGCTGGTTTCAACGTGCTTGGTGAACAAATGTCTTGACTTTTTTCGGCATGGTTTACTTCCTTCCGGGTCACTACCTCGATAAAGCTCCTGTACAGTCCATTTGTGGTTCTCTCCCCAGCTGTACAGACAACAGTGATCGTCTACTGTGATAGCGCGAAAGCTACGACCTGTTTATAACTATCAACAACTTTTCACGTAGAAAGTTGCTCGGCCTCACGCGGTAACTGGATCTAAATTAGTCACGTTGCTGTCGGTTAGTGCTGCAATAGCCCTCTGTGTCGTTGAAACATCCTTTCTCCTGGATGAACTTGAACTAGAGGATATAGCACTACAGTGCTGCACAATTTATTTCGGAAAAATATCGTTATATCTCTTCCGGTGCACAATGAAGTAGGAAAATAAGATGATAAATAGTAAGTTACAGCTGCCGTTTGTGTTAAATTTTTCCATCTTACCACCAAGGCAAGACCAGACTCACTCTGCCTGCACATTTCTAGTTTCCATCGTTCTATAGCAATCGCCTCTGCGAACCCGAGCAACTGAGAGTTTTGCGTGAAGAAAACGCTTTTCAGTGACGTGGTTATGTTCACTTGTCCTCTCGTTCACGTGTGACGAACGACCGATAATGCTGGTGTGCGGCGTTGGGGTTACCTTTGACCTTGATCGTTCTGATGAGTCACTCACCAATTTATTAACTCACACAGGGATACGCTTTGTCTAAGCTGCCTCTGGGTTCTGCCTAGGTTGGTGTTCGAATACTCACAAACGAATTGGTATAATTTCTGGGATTTGGTATACTGCGAAAACGGTTGCTTTATTATAGGAGCCGTTTTTCTGTCGCATTTGTAGATGAAATCTGGTTCGACTTTGTTGAACGTTCGTTTGATAGACGGTGTCCTAATGAATTACGTCATCACCCCTGAAGGTAGTTGTAGAACAACCTTACATTTCGGTCGCTTTACCTTCAGGCGTTGAAAGCTGTACTTCTCACGAACGAGTTCGGGTAACCATTGTCCTGGAGAGTTTCATTCAGTCTCATCTTTCCGTTTATGACGTTATCCAGCGTACAGATTTTCCTCACGCAGTCATAATGTCCTCACTAGTCCTCTTTCGTAATGAGTGAGGACAAAACTGGTAAAGTGCAGACATTAATCCGTCCACATGTTTTCGATGAGCAGATCTACCAAAGCTTCCGTCGGTCCTCTGTTGCATTCTTACATGCAGGAACGCGAGGTTGTCATTTCCTTCATGTTCCGTGGTTGGCATTGTATTCAAGTGAACGTTATCCAGACTTTTGAATAAGCCCAACGGTTTCGCCTTTGAGTCCACTATGACTAACGCATAACCCATATACTGCTTGCACAGAAAATATTTGGTGAGTTTATCGCTAATTTTCTGTTCCAGGCTGGCCACAAATATATCTGCCCGAATGGAACCCAAGGGACTTCCTATGGCCAAACCATCGCCTTGGCTGAAACATAGTCCCTGCAAAATTGAAACGTGTTTGTGTGTGCACAGTGGATTCGAAGTGATATTTATTCTGTTGTGTAGGGTCACAGCCTCTTTCAGGGACATGTTAGTAAGGAGCGATGCCACATCCATGTTAGTCACATGTTTGTGTTTCACATTGATCGGTTTTAGTAGTTTTACCAGTTGGAGACTGTCCGTCAGAATGCGAACACAGTTCGTTGGT